TACAGAAATGGCAGAGTGATGTTCACACTTCATCAAAAGCTACATGTTATAGGATTTTTAAAAATAATTGTCATTTTGAAAATTACTTAGATATTTTAAGTGATAAGGATAGAGTTACATTTTGTAAATTTAAGACTACTAATCACAAATTCATTGTTGAAACCGGCAGATGGCATAATATAGAGTATAATGAAAGAAAATGTCCACACTGTAACAGTCAGCAAATTGGTGACGAATTCCATTACTTGCTTGAGTGTCCGTCACTATCTGGGTTTCGAATTTTATACATAGACAAATATTTTTGGACGAGACCAAATGTAATTAAGTTTAATGAATTGATGAATACTACTAATATAAAAACACTGAAGAAACTTTGTACTTTTATTAGAATAATTAATAACAGTATTTGACCTCCTCGATATAAATGTGTATATACTATAAAACAGTACTGTGTACTACCGACTACGAACACTACAATTACTATATATTATATTGTAAATATGTTTCTCTATACATTGTATTGTGAAAGAGAATAAAGTTGAATTGAACAAGTGAATCTACCTGTAAATCTTACGTGTTGGAACTCCAGCACATATGCTTATATAAATATTCATATATATATTTATTTTACCTCTTTAATTGTCTTAAGTTTTATATTTTTGATGATACATGTATTAGCTGTTCCATGTAGTATTTGATATAATATTAAATGAACTGATCTTTCAATATTAGATAAATAAATAAATAATATAGCACAATTAGTTAAAGTTTAACAACACCCTAATTAGTATATATATCTTAGTCATTTGCTGAGAAACCAAATCTATAAGTATTTATTAGTACCTTATAGGTGTATAAGTGATCAAAAACCATTTTAAAGAATCAATTTGGTTTAAAAAAATGGTTTTACTGTTTATTTTGAATAACCTGGAAAATGAAATAAGCATTAAGAAATACTGATTCCTTATTGACCTGTGTCATAATAATGTTTACAAAGTTTTGAATTTTGCGAACGACTATCTACGCATATTGATATGGGTTGTTTTTTTTGCGAAAGATACGCGGTTTTAAAAGTACAATCAATGTTTCTATGGAGCAGCTAACTAAATCATATCCCTTTTGAAATCTTGCTTTGACTGTTTTACCCATTGTTATCGATTAAAAGAAATCCACTGTGAAGTCCTGAAATCATATAAATCTTATACCTTTAGATAAACATGGATGTGCTTAATTTAATCTAACGTACACTGTAACTAACTCTAACACATATATTGACTGACGTTCATTATGTTTCAGAAATAACAAGTATTTCAAGAAACGTGTTGGAAAGCTGATTGTATTAGCTGGTACGTAAAAAGGTGGTTCGTATGATACCAAGTTTAAGTACTTATGTTCTACTACTTCTTTAAAAAGTAAATATACCATTTTTTATCAATACTCAGCAAACATAGAAAGGTAAACAAGAACTACAACGGGGGCCTCTATATCATGTTTTATTAATATGTATATATATATATAGGTCTCATAATTAATAACGACAGTATGATCCAATATTGTCACTGGATCCGAACAAACAAATGTTGGTTGGATGCGTATTACTTAAATACTATTTGGGCAAAGAAGTAATAACGACAGTGCAGACAAAGAGATTTGTCAAATTTTCAGGGCGACTACCTCTTCATCATGACAGGAACATGAAATTTACTCAACACAACATAAAACAGAGAAAAACAGTACTAGTCACCATGAGACAATAATACAGTACAAAATACATAAACAAACAGAAGTTACTGATATAAAATATGCTGTTGTAAGGCTAATACAAATAACTAAGACTAATAACCGAGGGGATATGCAATAACAACAGCATGTTTAATATAAATAACTTCTGTTTGTTTATGTATTTTGAATTGTATTAGTGTCTCATGGTGACTGTTTTGCTCTGTTATATGGTGTGATATGTGAATTTTCATATTCCTGTCTTGATGAAGGGGCAGCTCGCCCTGAAAGTTTGATAAAGGATGAGTGTCTACAAGGCCCCTATATTGGGCCCCGGGTATATTCGGATTTTCACCTCCTTATTTTGTTCAAAGATGTCCTATTGTATGACATGCGGAAAAACTAAGGTAAAACTTTGACTGAAAGTGGGTTTCTGGGGGTACCAAAAGGGGTATGTAAATCACAAATCTAGTTTGCTGTTTTCAAAATGAGCTTAAAAACCAAAATAAAACCAAACTAATACCATTTCTGTTTTTGAAAACATGTATAAATTAGACAAGCATATGTAACAGAATGAAAAATGACAGAAATTCAATCGTCACTTAAAGATTGTTTATATAAAACGAAGGATTAAGTCAGGGGGTATTTTCGGTCATTTTCAATTGAAAAGTAATTTGTTTTCTCAATAATTTCCTCTTTAATTAATATTTTGACTTGAAATTTACAACTTCGTTCATTTAAGTAGACTTACATAAAATGCATATTGACTACATACTTTCCTTTTGTTTTATACCGAGTTATGGCTTTTTCAAATATCTCTCAATTTTAAGTGAATTAAAAGGTGCATGACACCCTTATATGCTATAAGTATAAGATTTCAATTGTTAGTATTGTATATTATATATACTATATCGTATTTGCTCAACACCTGTGGCTGAAGTGAGTTCCAGGTCCTGATTTGTTTTTATACTTATCAAAGTTAACTTACAAATCAAATATGACATCTGCCACCACAACTACCGTAAAATGATTGATTTAATATATGAAGTTTGATTTGATTAAACAAGTAAAAAAAAAAATCAAACTTCATATATTAAATCAATCATTTTACGGTAGTTGTGGTGGCAGATGTCATTTTTGATTTGTAATTTAACTTTGATAAGTAAAAAAACAAATCAGGACCTGGAACTCACTTCAGCCACAGGTGTTGAGCAAATATTATATGATACATATAATAAACAATACTAACAATTTATGTCTTATACTTATAGCATATAAAGGGTGTCATGCACCTTTTATTTGACTTAAAATTGAGAGATATATAAAAAAAGACAAGTTTGAGATGTGTCCAGAAGCTATAACTCAGTATTAAACAAATGGAAAGTATGTAGTCGATATGCAATTAATGTAAGTCTACTTAAATGAATGAAGTTGTAAATTTCTAGTCAAAATATTAATTAGAAAGGAAATTATTGAGAAAACAAATTACTTTTCAATTGAAAATGACCGAAAATACCCCCTGACTTAATCCTTCGTTTTATATAAACAATTTTTAAGTGACGATTGAATTTCTGTCATTTTTCATTCTGTTATATATGCTTGTCTAATTTATACATGTTTTCAAAAACAGAAATGGTATTATTTTGGTTTTTAAGCTCATTTTGAAAACAGCAAACTAGATTTGTGATTTACATACCCCTTTTGGTACCCCAAAAAAACCACTTTCGGTCAAAGTTTTACCTTAGTTTTTCCGCTTGTCATTCAATAGGACATCTTTGAACAAAATAAGGAATACACCCGGGGCCCAAAAAGGGCCTTGTAGACACTCATCCTTTCTTTGTCTGCACTGTCGTCATTACTTCTTTGCCCATGTATATATATGGCCGAACAGTTCAACGTTACGTTTAATGTTTTTAACTCTTCATTATAGATATAATTAGAGTGACACTATGCTGGTTGTGTTGCCATCTTTATGGCAGTGCATTCATTATCAATTACATAAATTACATTTCTAATAGCTATTTCAACCCGATAAACCTAGTATAGATATCCGAAATTAATGAAAACGGGAAAAAAGCCAACTCCACTAAATCTAAGTTTATAGATAAGTATAGTGTCTCAGAACAGAATAGTACATGACCACTGTCAGTCTGTTTCTTTTTTATTTTCTCATTTCAGGTTCTGGAGCCACAGGAGAATCAAATGTCTCCTGCAATGACGTCAGCAGTGCCATTACATGGCAGACAACCAACCCGACTGGATACTTCTACAAAGGCAATTGGCGATCAATGATCTGTAAACCCACACTCTCATGGAAGTATGAATCTTACGCCAAATGTCTCAAGAACCGTCCGGTACTCATGACAGGCGATTCTACCACAAGAAACTGGTACTCACCTTTAACAGCACTGTTAAGGTTACGCGTATTCGTTGGGCTCCATGAAGTAAAGGATAAAGCATGGCAGAAATTTGCTGAAGCAAGAAATATAAAGGAATCATTATTGATGTATTGGACCCCACACGAAATCCCGTTCTACAGTTATCAACAAAACAAGCACAACTTCCGATCTGTAGCCTCGAGAATAGACGATTTGCCCGAAAACAAAAGTGCCATAGTTATATTACATTGGTTCGGCCATATGACAAGAACAACTCCACAGCATTTCAGGAAGCATATAACGAGTGCTAAAGACGCCATAGTGCGACTTCTGAGAAGGTCGCCCCATTCTAGCATTCTCATAAAGGGTCCTCACTCTTACACATATAGGATTTTTCTTGAACCATTTGATTACATCAGCAGAATCTACGGACAGATACTATACGAAGAATTCAGAGATTTACAAGACAAAGTGTATTACATTGATCAATGGGATGCAACAGTAGGAAACGAAAATATCGACATACACCCAAACGTGTCCTTTAATCCACTTATGGTCAATTTCGTATTTTCATTCATTTGTAGGTGATGGGTATTATCATAGGTGTCAACCAAACGTTCAGGACAATAACTGATGTCATTTTAATTAATACAGAAACAAATGTATGTTATATTGACTGATAAAAGAACATGTCTAACTTCTCTAAAAATATGACAAACGCTTAAAGATACACTTGATCAAAGATATCAAAGACAAAAATTAAATGATATGTTGTGATGTCTTAAGAATGTGTTATTTCACATTCCGATATATTTCTGACATTTTTGTCTACAGGATGTCAGTAATAATCACCTTGCTTCAATATTATGACATTGGCACTTACCTACAGTAGGACATTCATGGCTAACTCAATGGCATTTACATTCACTAAGACATTCTGACTAACTCACGACTAAAATCATACGAATTTTCCAGCAGAAGGACTTTCATGGCTAAATCACTACCAACCACAATAACATTTACCTACAGTAGGACTTAACTCACTAGTAACATCAATGATATTTACCCACAGTAGGACATTCATGGTTAACTCACTACCAAACTCAATGACATTTACCCACAGTAGGACATTCATGGTTAACTTACTACCAAACTCAATGACATTTACCCACAGTAGGACATCCATGGTTAGCTCACTACCACACTCAATGACATTTACCAACAGTAGGACATTCATGGTTAGCTCACTACCAAACTCAATGACATTTACCCACAGTAGGACATCCATGGTTAGCTCACTACCAAACTCAATGAATTTACCCACAGTAGGACATTCATGGTTAACTCACTACCAAACACAATGATATTTACCAACAGTAGGACATTCATGGTTAACTCACTAGTAACATCAATGACATTTACCTACAGAAGAATATTCGTGGCTTACTCTCTACCAAACTCAATGGCCTTTTAATCAAAATAGAAAAAGTATTGGCTAACAAACCACCAATATCAAAGGCAGTTACCTTCAGAAAGACATTCTAAGTGACTCACTACCAAACCTAACAGCATTTACCTTCAGTGAAACATTCTGACTATAACTAACTATCAATCTCCATGGCATTTATCTACAGATATACATCCTGGCTAATTAACTATCAATCTCCATGGTATTTATCTACAGATATACATACTGGCTAACTAACTATCAATCTCAATGTCATTTATCTACAGATATACATTCTGGCTAACTAACTATCAATATCAATGGCATGTATCTACAGATATACATTCTGGCTAACTAACTATCAATCTCAATGTCATTTATCTACAGATATACATTCGGGCTAACTAATTAGCAATCTCAATGGCATTTATCTACATATATACATTCTGGCTAACTAACTATCAATCTCAATGGCATGTATCTACAGATATACATTCTGGCTAACTTACTATCAATATCAATGTCATTTATCTACAGATATACATTCTGGCTAACTAACTATCAATATCAATGGCATGTATCTACAGATATACATTCTGGCTAACTAACTATCAATCTCAATGTCATTTATCTACAGATATACATTCGGGCTAACTAATTAGCAATCTCAATGGCATTTATCTACATATATACATTCTGGCTAACTAACTATCAATCTCAATGGCATGTATCTACAGATATACATTCTGGCTAACTTACTATCAATATCAATGTCATTTATCTACAGATATACATTCTGGCTAACTAACTATCAATATCAATGGCATGTATCTACAGATATACATTCTGGCTAACTAACTATCAATCTCAATGTCATTTATCTACAGATATACATTCGGGCTAACTAATTAGCAATCTCAATGGCATTTATCTACATATATACATTCTGGCTAACTAACTATCAATCTCAATGGCATGTATCTACAGATATACATTCTGGCTAACTTACTATCAATAT